TTCAGCATCCGTCAAATGGTTGTGTTAAGATCGCGATCAGCTCTTCAGCGGATTCGATTCCCATCCGCGCAGGAAAGTTTCGCTGGAAACCGAGTGGTGGGCCAATATCATTGATGTTGCGAGCCTAAGCCAGGCTTGCATTAATTTGATTCGGCTTGTATATAATTATTTGCTATTGTTCATTAACATTACTACTATTATCGGTAATATTTTAATTATTGATATTATTATTGCCGTTTGGGACTCTTATTGATATTATTATTGGTTTTACGATTGATAGCACTATTATTGACAAATCGCTCTGAAATCACAAAAAAAACGATAAAAAAGTGTCGAACACAGACGTGCCTTCAATTTGCAGTGCCCAGACATTACAACTTGGAATACGGCAGCTCCATGTTTCTTGGCCCAAAGCATATACGGACGGCTGTAATCAGCAATCCATTCCACATCGATCTTCGATTCACCGCCAACCAACAAAAATATCAGTCCACTTCCATTGTAAAACTTTGGATTGTATTGATAATGCTGGAAATATTGATATCTCAATAAAGTCACATTTCTCTGACATATATCACTCAAGATATGAGGAAAGTGAAAATACTTTCAAGTACGGATCAACTAACAACCAAATAAACGAACAATTCAGCAAGCGTTTTTCATCTCTCACCTGTTGCCATGTTCTTTTGTCACTCGGATTGAAATTGTCGAGTTTTTGAGTTACAGTGCCCGTTTTGACATCCTCCACGGTCAGTCTGGTTTTGTTGTCTGCACGCTTTCTGAATGGATTGTTCAGAAAACCGCCCAACGGCTTACCAAAAATAACCCTCGGTAAATTTGTTGGTAAACCGATTATCGACTCGATGCTGACGAGCAGAGTCACCAATAAAAACAACTCACTGCAGACTTCATTTCACTTCGGTTTATGTTTCACCACTGAAATTTTAGCGTTTTATGGAATTCATTTTCCAATCATCAACTTGATAATTTGCAGCTGATTCATTTGTATCATTCATGATCGGATGCTGTGATAAGGTATTCGGCATCTCCTTTAATATCGCCCCTGAGCTCTGCATCAAATCTCATTGAAAAATACAACATAGTATGTAATTAGAAAGCGAGCGGAATTCAAAACACAAGGAGAAAGGGTATTTTAAAGAGTTATTGAACTGATTTATCTCATCGATTGAAGGATCAAGAAACTGAGCAAATTGCAAGGAGTTATTGGGAATTTATTGAAATAACGGTTACGAAGAAGCGTGCACGCTGTTGTCCTGATGAATGCAAGTAATGAATATTAGTTTCATCAACGGATTGTTTTATCGGTGCTTAAAGTTCATCAACAGATGCAGTCTATCCGACTAACATTATTTTCATGCCCTCATGAGTACTTCTTGCCGATAATTTTGATCACTAATATCACTAACAATGAACAATGAAATGCACAATGAATATTAAATATGAGACCATTTGTAGTTCTTGTTGTTCTCAATGAATCACTTGTATCAAACAGCGAAACGCGTGTGTTCTCCTGCATCACAATAAAATCATTATCAACATTTAATTTGGTCGAATATTTTAATTCTACGGAGCTGATAACGACGTTCCGAAACGATCACAAGCATTGTACAATGCAACTTTGCTCGAGAATGTAACGAAGTGCATTAGACGCATTTATTTGGATTTTGTTGGCATAAATCATTCAGTTTTCTGTCACAGTTAAGGAAAAATTGACTTGTGAATTTTTGTTTCTCCTCAAATTCGTAATTCTTCCAATCAAATTTGGATATCTTTGTGGACTGTGCAAAACCGTTATCAGTTTGTATCGTTCACTTCTGTCAGATAAGATTGTACGCACCTCTATCGAAAAACTTATATGCGTACTCATTTAATATCGACTGATTAATGCACGTTTCGCAAGTAAGCCTCTTCAAGATCACTCCAGTTATCACTATTACGACGGTTAACTGCTCTTTTCATTAATCTTTGGCCGGTTATGTAGCATTCATTGTCTTACCATCAAACTCGAGAACAGCAGTCGCCAGTTTGTTTTGTTTTGTTGATTTTGCTTTAAATGGAAATACTTCTCATGCCAGGGAACACTTTTCAAAATTTTGAACTCTGTAAATAATACTTCTTTTCGAAAAGAAGCAATTTTCAAGAAGTTCGTTGCTCAAAACAAACGAAACATTAAACCATCTCATTTTCAGTATCATTTAAATATATTCCAACCTATCTATCAACTCCGTCATCTTTTCTTTTATTTCCATCATTGTATTTTATTGTAGTTCATCATTACTATTGTACTTTACTTCCACCATTGTACTTTCCTATCATCACTTCCATCGTTAAACTACACCGTATTATCATCGCTCCTTTACTTTTATATTCCTCATCATGTTAATGTTTATCTCCCCAATTCACCCTATTTCACACTTATTATAATCAACATATTATTTATCTCTCGAATCATTTCATTGATAATCCCCTACCTACTTTCTCATAATCCCTGACCCTGGATCTGTCCAATGAATGCTTATGACGACCTTCATTGATTCAACAACATGTTCATGAAAATGGCATAACGCTGAAACGTTGAACAGCGTAAAAATATCTCCGAATGCGCAGGTAATATTTTGTCAACAAAAACTACATTACTGTTTAATCTACCTATTACCGCCGTGCGCCTTATAAATGAGGAAAGCTTCCAACAATTGATGTTCATCGTTTTGGGCTGATCGATTTTGGTTCTTGTTTGCAATCGCTCGCTGTCTCTTTTTGCTACAAAACATCATTCATTGTGAATGTCATTTACATCGAATTATACCAGTTTGATCACAGTTACATTAGTATTTTAGAATCATTTATCGCAAATGAAGATTTTAAGGGTATAAATGCTAACATATCAGATAGTAGCGATTTATAAGAAAAATATTATCCTTGATTGCCACACGCTGCTGGAAAACACCAACTGAGCTATTGCTGATCCAGTGAAAAAATGCTTGGTCTGCTGAAAAAAAAAAGTGCTATTGTTATAACGGTTAATCAGCAAAAAATTTATCTGCTGTTCGCTATCACTATTCCCTACTTTGGAATCATCCCTCAAAATTTGCGACTGTATGTTCACAACTGTATTTTCCCTTTTCCTCATCCACCTTCTTCCCGAAATAACGAAGATCCTGATTATGAGCAGGGGAATGCGTGAGTTACATTTATTTATTGCGATGATCACACTGTATTCGGTTAATTTGAATGGAATTGTTTATTGATCTTTATTTGGGCAAATGATTATAAATATAATGTTTCAGTATCAGCGATCTTTCAGCTATAATATTGCAACATTTATGATAAAGGTAATATTTCAGCATCTCTAACAGCGATTTTAATAGTTTAATGACGAGCGATCAGGATCAGGGATGCAAGAACTTGTAGAGAGTTGATGAAAGACGACAGTGGAGGTGCAGATGATGTTGTAGACTTTCCAGGCTTCTGCGTTGTTCCTGACGATGTCTCAGATTCCTTCGTGGTGGTTGACTGTATTTCAGGTTTCTGCGTGGTGGTTGACTGTATTTCAGGTTTCTGCGTGGTAGTTGACGGTATTTCAGGTTCTTGCGTGGTGGTTGATGGGCCTAGCGCTAAAAGTACCCCTATTACCAACGATAATATTAATTATTATGATTATAATCGAGAGAACCAACCAATAATCATGAACAGTTGAAATAACTAAAATAGTAAATGAACCCAATCATTGCATTCACTTGTTAATAAACAGATATAAAATGTACAACTCACACTCAGCAATGTATTTATCAACTTGTTCGCTAATGAACAATCTCGCATCAATTAGCGACTGTTTATCGTGCGGACTTGAGGGATACATATCTGCACAGTGCGCAGTGCCTGAATTTGCAAGGAAATTTTGTTATTACTATATCGTTATGTTGATGTTTTTAATGCTATTATCATCCTTGTTGTTGTAAATATTGTAATCAACATTACTATCACCACTATTAACATACCTAATTGT